ATATATATAATATTAGACCAATATGGAAGAAAAATCTATCTATCTATCTATCATCTATCTATAGCCAAATATGGAAGAAATCCATAATCCTATACTTTTCATGGCTTTTGTTTTACATATTTATTCACATTTAAATTAACTAATACTTGTTGCACCCTGTGTTCAGAATCCTGGGTGGCTGCCACCCTGCATATTTCCTCCCAGCACCAATGCATTTACACAGTCATGGCAGCAGGTGCACAGAGCATTTTGTGCATCAGCCTTTCTACACAAAGCAATACACGCTCCTTTGTGGCCGCAGTTTGTAAGCATCATCCTTAACTGTAGTAATGCATTTCATTTAGGAGACTCTGCTATAATTCACTTCTTAATTTTCCTATTATTGGACATGAAGGGGCTTCCTATTCTGCTAGAAGAGATTACAGAAGATCACTGTTTGTGCAGAAGATTACTGATCTCCCGCTATTGAATTATTTGGAGATAGAGTTCCAGACATACTTGGGTCTGAAGTGCTAATTATACAGGGCTTAAAAATCCCTCAGTGTTGCATAAATATGAAAATTCCACTACGATGGCTAAATCATTGCATCTGGTGAGAGCGCCATATGGCTTTCCAACCTCAGCTTCCTATTGCTTCCAGGACGGGACTCATGCAGCCCATGGGTTCCTTATACCAACTGTCAGGCTGGGCATGGCTAAGGCTGACCTTTCCTGAACTTACACCAGGTCTTGGTGTCCTTGTTAGTGATGTCATATTGATTCTGTGCTTTTGCAGCTAGAACGGGAAATTTTTCTTCTTACAGACTGCCTATGGTGAAATCTGGCTGCTTTTCAAGCTCTTTAGATAGTTGTAAATAGCTCCAATTTGATTTCACAGAATGAGATCATGTTTGTAAAAGAGACCCATCTTTTTGCCTCTACAGTTATATTTTCACAAAGTATCCAGTTAAATGTGTTTTACTGCATGTTTTCTGCTTGGCCCTGAAAGACACGTACATGAACATAAACTGGCCAAACGCTACAAGTGAGGGAAACAGCTAATTGGTAGATGATGGCTCTTTTTTACAAGGTTCTGGCAATTTTGGCTTGGTAAGACCAGTCTAGGGAAGAACTGCCCTTACCATAGGACTCATGGGGCATGTGGCCTGTGAGCCAAGAGTGGACACTCCTGTCCTGCAGCAGATGACCTGGCGACAAGAACTGGTGATGACTCGCTTTTATGTGATGGTGACCAGAAATCTCATTCTCTCTCAGGTTCCCAGATGCATTTGTGACCTTCAGTTCCTTCCAGCGTAGGTTCCCTGAGGTGTCTGGGTACTGCTACTGTGCTGACAGCCAAGGGCGGGAGCTGTCTGAGACAGGTGAGCAGCCCATCTCCAGCAACTGGAGTGGAGGGAGGAGGGAGTGCACTTCCCAGGCTCCAGGGCTTAAACCTCATCGCCAGGGAAGCAGAAATAGCAGTGATCCCCGGATCCCTTGATGGGCTGCTGTGAGTATGGAAGAGGATGTGGCCCCAGTGATCTTCCCTCCGTGGTTCTCTGGAGGCAGCTGCTACTGGCCCATCTGTGCCTTCGTGCTCGTTGAAAGGGGCAGTGCCTTCAGACAGATGCAGCTCTGTAAGATTGGCGAGTGGGATGCAGGCTGGATTTTAGCCTCTTTCTCTAGGCAGTACCTCTTTGTGCTGTGAAAAATCTGTACAACTAGATGCAACATCCCCGACTTGTGAAATTATTAAAATACCATTCAGATCCAATGCCTAATTGTGCCAGTGAAAGTTCTATCACCCTGGATATTTGTCAGCACAGTACAGTCAGGGCTTTCTTCCCAAATGAGCCCATCCCTGAAACACTGGCTGCCTTTGCTCAGGTTTGGAGCTATTATTGGATGAAATTTACGACACCATTTTTGCTGGCCTGGACCTGGCTTCTACTTTCACCGAATCCACTCTGTACCGGATACTACAGAGACGGTTTCTAGCCGTGCAGTTAGTCATCTCTGGAAGATTCCGATGTAAGTGACAACCTGCCAACAGACATGTGCATTTCTGTTGGGGGAAGCTGCATGGGGTTTAAGGTCACTGTGACCCGCATGGCTCACCTCCCAAAGTCAGTGCAGGGGTTTAGAACAGTGGCAGCAGGCAGCTGTGCATGCAGTGATTACATGAGGTGGGGCTGCCTGGCTCTCACAGAGCCCCTCTCCCCCTGTGTTTCTCTTCCAGGCCCCACGAAGTGTGAAGTGGAGCAGTTTGCAGCAACCACCTTCGGTCACCCCTACATTCCGAGCTGCCACAGGAATGGGGACTACCAGGCCATGCAGTGCCAGACACAGGGGCCGTGCTGGTGTGTGGACGCCCAGGGGAGGGAGACCCCTGGAACTCAGCAGCAGGAAGGGCAGCTGCCTGCTTGTGGTGCGTTTCGCCTTGTGGGGCGTCCTCCTCTTGACTCCATCACACACTTTGCTGTTTCTGCAGACCAGCCTCTCTGGAGCCCATTGATTCAACACCCTTTCGTTGCACCAGAACTGAACATCAATCGTTGTTACTAATTCCCAGCGTGCTCCTCGTCTTGTGTCAATCATAGCCGCTTCCTCAGAGAGCTCAGGGGGTACCCGGGGGTTCAGAGGTGAAATAAAAGCTGAGAAGTAGGTTCATGTGTGGGCTGGAAGAGGCACGGCCAGGCACCTGAAACAATGTAAGGGGAAAGCTTGCTGATTCCATCTCAGAGCCCGTGTGAGGAGGGAGGAGGCTTCGTGGAAGAGCCAACCCTCCCTCAGAGTGGCTAAGTGGAGATGCTTCCAGGATGGGGTGGAAGTCAGGCGGAGACATGGAGAGAGGAGCCAGAGCTTAGAGGAGGGATTGAAGGGAGAGTTGGATCTGAGGCAGTGGAGCCAGGTGGATGGTCACTGACATTCTGAAGCACAATGATGGGGACTTCATTAGTTCCCGAGGGCTGTTGTAATAATTCATCACAAAGTGAGCAGCTCCAAACAACCACCATCATGGTCTCATACCTCTGGAGTCTAAGTTCAAGGAGTCCGAGGGCTGTGCTCTGTCTGCAGTCTCCATGAGGAAATCCATCTTGCCTCTTCTTGGGTTGTGGCAGATGCCAGCTATCCTCGACACGGGCTTTGGCTTGTGGTAAATAATTCCAACCTTGGCCTCCATTGTACACAGCTGTCTGCCCTCTGTGTCTGTCCCTTCTCCTCTTCTGACTAAAGTATCAGTCCTGTTAGGCGACGGGCCCCCAACCCAGGATGGCTTAACCAGTTACAGTCACCTCTTGGCCCTTTGCCAAGTGGATCACATTCTGTGGTTCTGGGAGGGCCAGGGATTTTGGAGGAACATTGTTCAACCCAGTATGGGGGACCGATATTAATGTAGAGGGAGGGAAGGATGTGAATTTGAGAACAGCTGTTGCTAGCCATCCCATGAGACCCCATTTGACCTTGCCAGGAGATAGTTATGAATCTTAGCAACGAGGGAGAGGGAGCAACCCAGGAGTACTCATGGACTTCCACCATGGGGAGCGAGGAGGCTTTAGGAAGGTCTGAGCCAGTGCAGGGGAGCATAGGTCTTTTCATAGTTCCGGAACAGGCATTTATCGACATTCGTCTAATATTTTCTTGTTGACTCATCCATTTCCCCAATTTAACCCTTTAGATTTTCTGCCTAGTGTTTGGTAGCATTCTGTCTGCCAAGCGTGAGGATGTCAGAAAAGGAAATCCAGGTGCCTTCCCCTGAACATATTCACAATTGCATTTCACTCTATCAAAGTGTAGGGAAGGTGGCCTTGTAACTCTCAGGTGGAAATGAAAAACTCTGGCTTTCAAAATTAAGAATAATATTTCTATCAAATGAGTGGTTGGATTATATATTTTTACTTTTTCTCTTTGGTGCACCAGCCCTATTGCTGTAGGAACAAATGGCCTATGGAAATAATATCTGGATTTTTACCCCCTGGTAGTGCTCCATAACAGACATATGGGTTCAGGACTTTCTTTGGCTCACGAAGAAGCAAAGCAGTGACTCTTTCTTCCCTTCCTCCCTTTAAGATCCATTCAGGAAGCCAGGGCCATACTGAGGGATGTGTTACCAGGTTTTACACTGCCAGCCCTTTGCTGTTGCCTGGTTACAGAGGGAAACCTGGCCTATTTCCTTTTGGGCATCTGTGTGAATCAAGAAGGAATAATTATTTTAAAAAGTTGAGGGTGGGATGCATGGTTTAAAATGTTCCTCAAGCTTTATGATTTTATGGAAAAGTGGAATTTACTTACTTTTACCTGTGTGACTGTGACAGCCACTGGCATATGAATCTTGCATCCATTTGCTTAGCAGGAATCCAGCCAACCTGGATGTTAGGGAGAATGGCCTGAGCCTGAGCATCCAGGTGGTCAAGTCCAGCACCCTGAGCTAGACATTTCAAGAGAAGATCAAGCAACCCAGAGGGATATGCTTGTGTTTTGCAGGGTGGTTATTATTGTATTATATTACAGGAAATGTCATATTTCCTGTGCTGTGTATTTTATTTCTTTTTTTTTATCAGTTTTCAGGCTGGCTTCAAACTCAATATTTAGACAGGCTGGCCTCAAACTTGCAGTGATCATCTTGCCTTTGTCTTCTGAGTGCTAGACTTATAGGCATATGCCACCATGCCCAGTTTCTCCTATGCTGTATTTTTAAACATTGTTATAATACAGGAAACTATTTCTTATTATAAGAAACACTAACAATATTTGAGGTCTCAAAGAGATTATAAACTAGTTAGCCTAGAGAAGACTACTTAAGAGATTATCAGCATGAAGTGAAGCATTAAAGTCCATTGAGAATTCCAACGAGGGGCTGGGAATTTAACTCAGCGGTGCCACTTCCTGCCTCATAGGCACAAGGTCCCGAGTTTGATCCCCAGTACCAAAAAAAAAAAAAAAAAAAAAAAAAAAAAAAAAGAATTCCAACAAAAGAACACTGGAAAACAACATTCCAGTAATTTTGTTCATGTACTAGTTTCCTAGGACTGCCGTAACACATCACCACAAACTAGGTGGCTTAACACAAAATCTGTTCTCCCACAGTCCTGGAGGCAAGAAGTCTGAAATCAGGGTGTTGACAGGGCTATGGTGCCCCTGAGCATGGTGGCTGGAAATTTTCGGCATTCCTTGGCTTGTGGCTGCATCCCTCTGATTCATGTCTCAATCCTCACATGGACATCTTCCTCACAGAACACTGGAACAACATTCCAGTAATTTTGTTCATGTACTAGTTTCCTAGGACTGCCGTAACACATCACCACAAACTAGGTGGCTTAACACAAAATCTGTTCTCCCACAGTCCTGGAGGCAAGAAGTCTGAAATCAGGGTGTTGACAGGGCTATGGTGCCCCTGAGCATGGTGGCTGGAAATTTTCGGCATTCCTTGGCTTGTGGCTGCATCCCTCTGATTCATGTCTCAATCCTCACATGGACATCTTCCTCACATGTCCCTGATCTTCACATGACCTTCTTATAAGGACAGTAGGCACGGGGTCCACAGCTCACTCTCATCCAGGATGACATCATCTTAACTCCATTTTATCTGCTAAGAATCTCTTTCAAAATATGGTTTCATTCTGAGGCTCTAGGTAGAGATGGATTTTTGGGAGGACATTGTTTGACCTACTTCAGTTGGCAAATGGGGTCAGATTCTGAGAAAGTGGGCCAGTGCCTATGAGGCTTCTGTAGAAGAGGATCATGCCCTAGTGAAAGCTGGGAGGGGTTGTGAAGATTAGAATAGTCATTTCCTCCAAAAAGCCCATAGACATGGATCAGAGGTAAAGGAAACATAATAAACGTAGGTGTCCAAACGTAGGTGTCCTTGGTTGACATTTTGGCATGTGAGTTCTAGAAAGATCCGAGGGGCTGTCTTGAGCTTACTGATGATGTTAAACCATATCTCCCATTTCATTTCTGCCCATGCAGCTGGAGACTGGTCTTGTTCCTTAGAAAGGCAGCGGGCCTTGTCCAGGCTGTACTTTGGGACCTCCGGCTACTTCAGCCAGCACGACCTGCTCTCTGTCCATGAGGAAAGATGGGCTTCTCAGGGAGGAGCGAGGCTGGCCACGTCCTGCCCATCCAGGATCAAGCAGCTCTTTGTCAACTCAGGGCTTCTTCACCTAATGGTGGAAGAGAAGGATCCACAGTTTTCTGCATTAGAAAGTCTGCTTGGAGAAGCTGTCAGAGCTATTTTTCCCTCTCGAGAGCTGGCCCGTCTTGCCCTTCAGTTTACCACCAACCCAAAGCGACTCCAGCAAAACCTCTTTGGAGGGACTTTTTTGGTGAACCTTGGCCGGTTTAATTTGTCTGGAGCCCTTGGCACAAGAGGCACATTTAACTTCAGTCAATTTTTCCAGCAACTCGGTCTCCCAGGCTTCCAAAATGGAAGGGGACAAGTAAAGCTAGACAAAGCACTTTCAGTGGGATTGGATTCAAATTCTGACACAGAACCCCTCAGTGCTACGAATAAGCCAATCATGGGCAGCTTTGGATTTAAAATCAATTTGCAAGAGAACCAAAATGGCTTAAAGTTCATTACCACTCTTTTGGAGCTTCCAGAATTCCTTCTCTTCTTGCAGCATGCTATTTCTGTGCCAGAAGATGTGGCAAGGGACTTGGGTGATGTGATGGAAATGGTGCTCAGCTCCCGGGCCTGTGAGCAGACCCCTGGAAGGCTTTTTGTACCTTCATGCACAGTGGAAGGAGGTTATGAGAGTGTCCAGTGCTTTGCTGGAGAGTGCTGGTGTGTGGACTCTTGGGGCAAAGAACTCCTGGACTCAAGAGTGAGAGGCGGACAGCCAAGGTGTCCCACAGAGTGCGAGAAGCAAAGGGCTCGCATGCAGGACCTTGCACGCAGCCAACCTGCTGGGGCCAGCGTGTCTATCCCTTCTTGTACCCGTGAGGGCCATTTCCTGCCTGTCCAGTGCTTCAACTCGGACTGCTACTGTGTTGACACCGAAGGTCGGGTTGTTCCTGGCACTCAGAGTGCCATTTGGGAATCCAAGCAATGTAAGTCTGCTGGGTATTTGGCCTGTGGACTCCCTGGGTGACTCTTCAGGCCCTGACCCAGCCCACCCCAGAGAAATGAATTCACTCCCTGCCAAAGGGCAGAATTCAGTTCATGGCCAAGTTAGCTGCTTAAATGAGGACTACGCCAGGAAGGCCTGGATGATGTTAACCATTTTAAGGAGTGAGTAAGGAGACTGTTTTAGCCTCAGGGACTGCAATATGGATGTCCATCCTGCGGGTCAGTGGCTATCTCCACAGTGCTGATGATCATGGTGCCCTTGGCCTATGTTATCTATAAATTTAGGGCTGTCAGATTTCTCAGCTATATAAGGTTGTAAATGGAGTTTAGGCTCCTAAGTGATTCTATCTCTGTCTTTCTGGCTTATTAAGGTTGTCCCACTTAGATATCTGTTTATTATTCCTTCTCAGGTCCCAGCCTCTGTCAGTTACAGGCTGAGCAAGCTTTCCTGGGCACCATACGGGCCCTGCTCGTCAACTCCAGTGTGCCACCCACCCTGTCCAGCATCTATGTTCCACAATGCACTGCCAGTGGGCAGTGGCAGCGTGTGCAGTGTGATGGGCTCCCAGAGCCAGTCTTGGAGTGGTATGATCGATGGAGGGCTCAGCACCCTGACACCCAGGAGCTAAGCCCTGCCAGGCTGCTAAGGACCATCATGAGCTATAGAGGGGCATCTTCCAGAAACTTCCGTCTCTTTGTTCAAAGTCTATATGAGGCTGGCCAGCAAGGATTCTTCCCAGTGCTGGCACAATTCCCTTCCCTCCAAGATGTCCCACCGGCAGTGTTGGAAGGGAACCTGACTCAGCCTGCAGAGAACATCTTCCTGGAGCCCTACATCTTTTGGCAGATGCTCAGTGGCCAGCTCAGCAGATACCCGGGGCCCTACTCGGACTTCAGCAGGCCACTGGCACACTTGGACCTCCGGAGCTGCTGGTGTGTGGATGAGGCTGGTCAGGAGCTGCCAGGGACTCGGGCCCAACCAAACCAGGTCCCAGCATGTGAGTTCATTTATGTGAAGAACAGAATCTGTGTTCTTAGAAAAGGCTGTCTGGTGGGGGAGCATCAGTGTCAACTCTGGGCTGGAGGGCCAAGTATGTCCTTCAGTGTGGTTGAGAGGGTCAGGACTCAGAGCTTCAGTGACTTCCTCACCTCTGTATGGTCAGGAAGAACAAGGTACAATATCATCCACTTCTAAATAGCATATGATTGGTCATTCAAATGGATATCTTAGATTTTCACTGATGTCTTCTGAGTGCTGAGCATTATCTTAGAGCCAGTGAAAGCTCTGAAAGTGATTGTGCCCCAGCGCTGGGGTTCCACAGTTGATGCTTTAGTAACGTCAGGTGAGTTACATGCACCATTTAAGTAATCAGTGGTCCTGCTACTACTTCCACATGCTACTACCAGGTGCTTAGGACCTCTGGAAAGGGTCACCTAAAGTGTCTTTAATTGACTTAGAGAGATTTAGTGAAGACTGATTGGAGAGGCACAAATGGAGGTCTGTGTGTTCACCTTGGAGGAAAGCTGGTGGTACATAAAGCATACATCGAATAAGTGTGACTCTATGTCTTGTATCAAAATGCTGTATTTTCTAATAACTATTCCTGCAGTTTTGAAGAATAACCAGATAGATTCAGTGTGCTATTGTCAAATCAGAATCTCACTAAGCAGCGGTTGTTAATAATATAGGTAATATCATAGCGGTTCACTTTTGGTGAAATCTCTCACTCCATCAACTGCAATGTTGTATATGGTCACAACCTTTCATGATACTGTTAAAATGTATCATACTACTTGACATTAGCCAAAGTTGAGGCTTCAGCAGAAACTGGATTTTTAGAACGTTGGGTAAGAGGACCATGTGATGAGAACAGTACTATGCCGGCCTTTTAACAGCCAGGGGACAGTACTACAAAGATTAGCCATCGAGACAGGAAAATCTAGCAGTTGGACCTTCAACATCCACTATGAGGCTGGGCTCGGTTCTCGTGGTACACAAATGTAGGCATCTACACTGCTGATACTTCAGTGACTAGGTTTGTTCATCCTGGTCTAATGTTGGACTGACCGTGAAATCTAGGTTAGAGTTTAGAGTACTTTTCACTGAGCAGCAGGGGACCATATGTAGTTGAAAATGGTGTAGAAAATAATCCATTAAGAAACAAGTCTTAGAACCATCTATTTTCAGTATTTTATGTCTCCCTTTCAAATTTCTATTTTTGTTTTTGAAATTACTGCATGCTAACAGCTGAAGCACTGAGAACACTTCACCTGGTACTTTATGTTGGTATGTGATATGCCTCACAGATAAAGAAATACCCATATTTGGAGATGGTGTGTAATCACAGTCATTTGTTGATAGAGGAATGTGATTTTTCAAATGGGTTGATTCAGAACCTAGCACCAGCAGCATCTGGGGAACTTGCTAGAGATTCAGTATCTCAAGCTTCACCTACTGAACCAGAACTTGATTTTTCTAAAACATTTCCAGGCAAATCAGAGGCACCCTAAAGCTTGAGTAGGGCGAGGCAAGAGGTTCTTAATGAATGGTAGCTGGATTTATATAACTGATGTGACACACTTCCTGCACACATGCATGCAGGGTGAGAGCTCTAGTCAGAGCTGTGCCAAACTCTTCAGCTGCAATCCCTGGTAGGATCATTGCAAGACTCATGAACAGTTGGAATGGAAGCCCAGCCATCCCCGTTACACATATCCAAGAGTCTGAAGCTGAGGCTTTAAACACATCAGCTATGATCACTCAGCTAGTGAATGACCAAAGAGTTGAGCCCAGGAGTCCCTGAGACCCAAGCTCTTCTTAACACAAGTAATTCTCTAGTACTTGAAATACTTGGCTATCCATCTATCCCCACTCACCCACCTACCCACCCATCCACTCGTCACTCTATCCATCCATCCATCCATCCATCCATCCCCTCACCCACCCACCTACCTACCCATCCACCCATTCATCCGTCCACTCCCCCATCCACCTACCCACCCATGCACTCATTGCTCCATCCATTCATCATCCATCATCTGCACATCTTTCCGCTATACATAGCTGATCAAAATCACTGTTTCTAGAGTGAGACTGTCTAGACTGGAATTTTGAATCAATTATTTCCAAGCTGGAAGGTTATAACTTCTCCAGGCCTTGGTTTCTCTTCTGTAATGTGGGGCTCAGAGTATCTTCTTAGGCTGTTGTATAGGTTAAATGAAGCAGGAAGAACATTCCAGGTTGAGGAAGGAGCCAGTGCAAAGGAAGCAGCTGAGGTATGTGTGTGTGTGTGTGTGTGGGGAGAGTTACATTATGAATGAGTCCACCTATGATATTTTTATTCTGCAGGTCCTGGCTCCTGTGAAGAGGCAAAGCTTCGTGTCCTGCAGTTCATTAAGGAAACAGAAGAGATTGTTTCAGTTTCCAACACTTCTCGGTTCCCTCTGGGGGAGAGTTTCCTAGTGGCCAAAGGAATCTGGCTGACGAATGCAGAACTCAGCCTTCCTAGGTTTTTCCCATCCCGAGAGGCCTTCTTTGAGAAGTTTCTGCATGGGAGCGATTACACTATTCAGCTGGCAGCTCAGTCCAGTGAGTGCTTCGCACTCAGGGCTTCTTTATCTCTAAAGAAGCCAGAGCTTGCATGGGTCCCTCCTCCGTCCTCTCCAGGGCTTATATGATTGGTTTCTCCAGGCTGGGGAAGAAAAGGCAAAGTGCCTTTGTGACCTGACTCAGAGCTGGCATACTGCACGTGTCTTTAGAATGACCCAGGTTTTTCAGCTGAGCCACTGTGGGGCAGGGTTTCATATTTTGTATTGCAGGGTACACCTGTGACTGTGTGAAACCACATAGTATCATTAAAACATAGGAGACTCTAGTAGTTCAACAAGTCCTAGTAGTGGCTTGTTCCAAAGATACAGGAACACTGTGAAGAGGGAGAGAGAGAGGAACCTTCATTAGTGAAGGTCTATTGCACACACGAACACTTGAAATCCTGAGAGTGTCTCCAAAGGTAACATCATTCCCTGCATGTGATGACAGAGGAATGAGCTGGGGGAGCCTTCTGTCTCCTCAAGCCCTAGGAACAACTTTACCATATTTTACTTTGCCTTCCACTAAGCACATGCCATTCTCAGCTGATGACCAGATCTTTGCATTAATATTTTCAGGAGGACAAAGTTGTAACCACCATCTATGACTCTTTACAAATGGGGAAACTGAGCCTCAGCTTAAGTCAACTGTTTACCCATCAGATAACTTGCAAAACCTGGATGGGAATTTTGGTGGCCTGGGCCTTAGTTTCATTCCCTTGCAGCCTGTGTCCTGTCTAGCTGATCTCAAGGCCAGCTTGGGTCATGCCAAGGCTAGATTATCCAAGAGACTGTACTCTTTCTCCTCTGCCCTCAGCCTGCCCTGAACCCTCTGAGTTCTCATAGACCCCACTCCTGCTGGGTAGGGTTCCATAACTGATCTGCCTCTGAATCTTCCCTGGGCTCTCTATTCCTTTCCAACTGTCCCAGCAGGGTCCCTGTCTGGAGTTTCCTGGGCTTTGCTGACAAACAGGACAGCTGTCCTCCCCCAGCAATATCTGCACATAGTCAGAGTGCATACCCACTGCTGCTGGCTCAGGATGGGGTTTCTACCATCCATGGCCTCTAACTCCCAGCACTTTCTCTGTCTCCTGCCTCACCCTACCAGATGCCTCTCACTAGGACAAGACCTGTCCTGAGGCCCGCGGGGCACCTGAAGAAGAGTACAGCTCTGTAATGGCAGTGAACCAGCCCGTCACCCCCTTCCCACTCCTTTTTTCCTTTCCATCTGCTGCTCTCCCTCTGGGCCCAGGCACCTTTTCTCACTGTTTCTTCCTGAGGGATTTGGGGATTTCTGCCTTTTGACAAGAAACAAGTGATTCTGGGTTGTGGGTGAGGACAGAGTTTGACATGGTTGAAGAAAAGTGGCATTAATGGCCCTTCAACTACATGTGGGCTTCAATTCACCTGACTGTGTGGCAGGTGCAGGAGACAGAGGTAGCACTGCATCACGGCATCCCTCACACAGTGACGCTTCATCACCGACACCATCCACATTCAGGCACTGCACACCCAAGTCATGAAAAATATTGCTAAACTCACATAACAATATCAAAACATTACATTTTTGTGGGGCTCCTTTACTGGTGGTGCAGGGCTGTGTGCAACCTGTGAGCCTGGTCTAGGGCCTAGTGAAGGTTGGCAGAGCCATAAGAGGGTTGAAAGAGGAATGCACACAGCTGTGCCTGGACTCAAGGATCACATTTACCCTGTTCTGTACCAGATCCATTCTGCAGATGACTAAACTGAGTTGCACAGAGGTTGTCCCTTTGCTCGTGATCGCACAGCTAAGTGGGGTAGTGCCAGAGTCTAGGCAGAGGTGTGTCAGATCCTAGAGCCCTGTCCACTGCACCGAACTGCTCCAAAGATAGGTCCCACTGTCCCCAGACAGACTCTGACCGTGGGTTGGTGGCACTCTTACATGTACAAGCTCTCCCCTCTGGAGTCTGGAAGACCATTTCTGAAGTTACTGTAAGATAGCTACTGAAAGCCTTCTGTTCTGTAGCCTGCCTTTATTCATGTAGGACAATCTGGTCCACATTCATGACCTACCCAAGGGCCCATGGTAGTATTTCAAGGGGAGATGTTTGCAGATAAGTAGGAAGGCTGTCTTGTGTTGGTGCAGGGATGTGTTCAGCTGTTCTCAGGGACAGGGCAGGTGTCACTTTCTATTCCTCTCTTCCTGTGACTCCAGCCTTAAACTTCTATCAGCGCTACCGTGCTTCCCAGGGTGACCTAACTGCAACAGCTGCCCCTTGGTGGCCAGACCCCTACATGCCACAGTGTGATGCATTTGGAAGCTGGGAGCCCAGACAGTGCCACATGGGGACTGGTAAGTGGGACCTCAGAAGCTAAGTGACACCTCTCCTTTTTATGTGGCGCAAAAGCCCCACCACGGGAGGCAGGTGACCTGGATTCCTGGCCCCACTTTGGCAGTTGAGCTGTTCCAATTGTTTCCCTGTAACAAGAACAGGAGCCTCCAACTGGTTAGACTGGGGGTTGCGGGTTAGAGAGGCCAACTTGCTGGCAGGACAATAGATGCAAAGAGCTAACAGGCAGGAGAGCCTCAGCCACCTCCTGGTTTTTGAGCGTGTGGCTGTTTTCTAGGTTACTGCTGGTGTGTGGATGGGACAGGCCAGTTTGTCCCAGGCTCACTGACTGTCTACTCCCCGCAGGTCTTGCAATGTAAGTACAGTAAAAGCCCAAGAACTTTCCCCTCTGACAGCCTTGGGGAAACTCCGCCCCAATCCATCCTGACTCCAGCCAGACACCTTTCCTCGTGCACCAGGGCCCAGGGGCTGGCACTGACCTTGGCCCTTCTGCTGGAGCTCCTGGTGGAGTGGGAGAGAAGGGGAGGCCTGGCTCTTGTCCAGGGCATCGGCAGCTCACCTGTGGCTTATCACTGCCTCTCATCTGGATCTCCAGCCCCTGCCTCCACCTGAAGGCCAGCCCTGCCCAATCATGGCCCACTCTGTGTCTCAGAACTGCCAATGGCACACACTTTCATATCCCTGCGGCACCTCTACCCCTAGATGCATGGCTCTGGGATCTGGGGTTAGCCAGGGTCTCTGCTTTTCCTCAGTGTCCTGGGCCAGTCTATGAAAACTGCCCCTCTGTCCCCAGGCGCCTCCCGCTGTGAGCAGTCTCGAGCCAATGGGCTGCTTTCTGGTTGGAAACAGGCTGGATCCCAAGGAGACCCATCCCCAGAAGACCTGTTCACCCCAACCTGCCATGAGGTGAGGCTCTGGGGGCCCAGGAGGGTGTGAGGAGGGACGCCAGAGGGCACCCCAGCTGCTTGAGGTGACTCTCCCAGTTTTCAATTAATTTAGCATAGTAAAAATGTCTCAGAGAGTCCAGGGAGGGAAGTTTGTCCTGATCCTGGTAGACCCTGGTTATGCGCCTTTGAGCAACTTACCTTCTCTGTGCCTCAGTTTTGTTTTTCAACATAGGGATGGACCACATTTTTTGTGCCATCTAATGCTGGAATAGTTTTGGGACGTCCTGGAAATAGCTTTCATGAATACTCTTTGAGATTCGCTGGTACCTGTGCAGTTGCTCCTAAAGTCACCTTGGCCAAATCACACTGCTCAGGTCCCCAGGCCAAGTGCACAACATCACCCCATGTCCTCCTGGCTCCCTGGATGATTGCAGAAATTTCCAATCAGTGCAGCACAGGCATGAAAACTCACAGAGGAAGAGATCATGCCTGGACCCTTAAGCACCACTTCCCAGATAGGAGTCCCTGAGCCCATTTCCTTTCCCTAAGATAGGAATGACAGGAGTGTAACAGTCTCCCAGGGACTTGGTAAAGATCCTAAATATGGAAGTTTGTGAAGCTGCAAAGTGCTGTAGGATCCTCATTATTATCATCACTGGGTATTTATCACATAGCTTCTAGTTACGAATGAGCCTTGTAGAGAAATTATCCATATGAAAAAAAAAGAAATTATCCATATGATTTGGACATTTATCCTGTCTGACAACTACATGCCGCTGGGCTGGAATACAAGTCCGCTGCATGTTCTGGGCACTGATGCTCTCTTAGGAAGAAGGCAAGATGGGCGCCCCAGCCTCTGTGGACAGGGCTGAGAATTCTAGCGCACTCTCTAACTGTGTTCTAGCTCCTGCCCAGGGCCTTGGGCCAGTAGGTAGCATCTGGACTCTTCCTGTCCAGACTGAATGCTTATGTCCTCCAACTGGGAGAAGTCAGGTTGATAGAAAGTGTTAAGCCTTCACTGGGGTTTGAATCTTGCCTCTGTAGTTTACAAGCTATGTGGTAAGAGGCTCATCACCCCATCTCTCTGGGCCTCTGGGACAGTGAGTACAGCGGGACCCTCACCTCACCTGTGCCATATGGACTGTGCCACATCCTAGTAAATGGATGTCACAGTCATTGTCATTGCTGGCCTGCAGACCGGCACAGCAGGCTGAACAGTGGAAGAGCAGCAACCAAGGTGCTCAAGGCAATAGCAGCAGCCAGGATGTGTGTGGCAGGCAGGCAGCTGCTTTATGCCAGGTCACTTGTGTGCCTATGATTTTCACCTGCAGAAGTGGCCAGAAGGACTTTCCTGTGGGAGGAATGTGCTCAGTGGCAGGTCCTTATGTAGGGAAACTGAGGCCCAGGGGGCTGAAGTGGTGTGCTTCGGGTCCCCAGAGTGGTGGATTCTGTTCCCAGGATCCACGGCCAGTGCCGAGGGTGGTGGCTGCCTTGTATGGTATCTTTATCTGAGGTAGCATGCTTAGAGCTCTCTTCCAGTGCTGCTCATTCAAAACCACTGCTGCCATTGCTGGAGGTGGTGCAGGAGTATGGCCGTGGCTGGGGCTCAATGAGTTCCAGGCTTCAGCCTGGATCTGCCCCTCACCAGCTCAGGGATGCTGCTCCATTGTGAACCTCGATTTCCCCACGCTTAAATGGGGCAACTGTTCTTCTTGCCTGTAGAGTTGGTACAACCATTGCTTCAAATTAATTATGTGGAGGTTGCAGATGAGGTAGTGGCCCCTTCTTAGAATAGCACTTTCTTATTTGGGGAAGTTCTTACCACTTGTTTTGGACCAAGAGGTGGGCCCTCAAAAAACCTTGCATTGATAGCTGTGGCTTTTCTCAGACAGGAGAGTTTGTCATGATGCAAGCGTCAGGCACCGGTACCTGGTGTGTGGATCCTGTGTCAGGAGAAGGCATGTGGCCCAGCACAAATGGCAGCACCCAGTGTAAGTGCTTTTCCCAGCCTGGCTGCCCCACAGCCTCCCTGGCAACCCCCTGGGTGTAGACCCCCACAGCTGGCTTCCTATCCCCACCCTGCTGCTTCCCCAGCAGTGGGGTACAGCTCCTGACTTCATCTGTAAAACAGGGTGATCTTCTCCCACCTTCCCTGCCTCAGGGAGAGGGCTGTGCTCTGTGACAGTGGTGACAGCCTTGGTGCCTCTCCCAGGCGGCACGGTGCTGTTGAAGGCTGAGCGGCAGCAAAGCCCTGCTGCAGTGCTCCACCTGGCCCTGGGCGTCCCTTCTTGCCCTGCAGTGTGGGGTCCTCAGTGAAGCGCAGGGTGTGTCCCTTAAGGGCAACAGGCTGACAGTGCCCCTGCCCGAGGCCGCTGATGTTCCACTGTTGTCAACCAGGCTTGAGCTGCTTGGCTGGGCCAGGAGCCCCACACACGGGCTCCTGGGGGTTTCCTTTGGCTTCTCTTGCCTCTCTGTCACTCATGCTTTGGGATCTTGTGAAAAGCTCTAGTCAGACTTAGAAGGATGCAGACACTGTCTTCACCTTGCCTTCACTCCCTCTGGCTCTGCTGCCTGCATGGTGTCCATCCCTTTCCTACTCTTCCGGGCTGCTTTTCACCTCCACCAGCATCTCCTCCAGGAAACCTTCACAGGTGTCCCTTGCGTGGCTGGGCTCTGTGCTTCCATTGGCTCCTTGTCGTCCCCATCCCATTGACCTGCACTTGGTCATGCACTTAAATCTCTTGTGTTTCCAAGTGCCTTGAGGGCAGGTATGGAAATGGAGAGAAGACAGATTCATAGGAATCCTGTCCATGCAGGCAGGGTTAGGGTGGGAATGAGTGACGGGGAAGGCTGTGCTGGATAAGGAGGAGCCACCTGCTGGCCCCACCTGGCTTGTCTCTGTGTGTCCAGGCCCAGGACTCTGTGATGCTCTCCGAAGTGGAGCCCTGTCCAGGAGAGTCGGCCCAGGATACATCCCAGCCTGCAGGGAACAGGATGGGAGCTTTTCCCGAGTCCAGTGTGACCCAGCCCGGGGCAGCTGCTGGTGTGTCCTGGACAGCGGAGAGGAGGTGCCCGGGACCCGTGTGGTGGGCAGCCAGCCTGCCTGTGAGCGTAAGTCCTGAGCCCTGCAGGGCTGTGGGCCACACATCCCACATCACTTCCTGTACTCTGTCTGGGTGCAGGTAAGAAGCAAGGACTATGGGAATGGGACAGGGGCAGGAAGTGTAGGACTGATGTTATGCTGCTGATTCCTGTGACGCTGGAATTGTGTCTACTTCCTGCAAATGCTCATTGATGGACTAAAGTTGACCAGGGAACCTCCAGAGCTGGCACCTGAGGAAGCCGAGTGCTGGCCAGGGAGGGTCGGGTTTTGGTCTCCTGAACTGGCCCTGAACCGGGGACAAAGCCCATTTCTATCTCAGAAACTTAGGATGGATGCTTCTTTCCCTGGGTGCTTCAGGTACTTGTGGAGGTGTCAACTTCATCACTTTTAGTTTCACAAACTGTCTGAATATCAAATCTTGAAATATACATATTATGATATATAATAGAATACTGGAAATAATTGTTACATATTAAAATGTTTTATATATTGCTTATTTTTTTGTTTCTTCTCTGTACTCAAATCATAAAGCATTGCAGTCCTTTTGGAATTTATGTGAATGGGTAGGCTGGACTGTCTGTGCATAGGAAATGATACAAATGCACGAAATAGTATTTGTTACCAGTTGGGCCCAAGCGGTCTGGAAGGCTTGAGAAATAACTGCCATGAATGAGTCTCCTTTTGCCACAGTGGCCTTTCCTTTGTTCTTACTTTTCACTCACAATATTTTTTTCTAAACTTTCAATCTCTAAGCCACATTTGGAGTGGCAGAGAGCTTTAATGAGGTCCAGTGATGATGCCTCTGCTTTCCACGCCTAGGAGGATGGGAGGAAGGGGGTGGGAGCTGTCCCCCATTCCTAAGCCTCACTCCTGCATACCCTACATGCGCCCAGGCCTTCATGACCTGTGTTCCCCACTTTGCCCTCCTGTGTGGGCCCAGCATCCTCCTCACCTTGGTCATCTTCAGCAGCTGCCACCAGGCACAGAAAAACCTGCTGTGTGCTTCTGCAGTAGGGAGGCAGCTGACACCCACCCTAAGTCCTCTCTGTGTCATCCGGGAGTGGCTGTGCTGTCTGCAGCCCAGGAAACAGATGCAGACGATGCTACCAGGGTCACCCTTGCTCAAGGTTCTGTCAGGATCAGAGATGCGGGCTCTTCTAGGAGTGGGGCAGAGAGAGGGGAAGCCAGCCCAGGAGGGGATCCCAGGACTGAGGGTGCATGGGAGCTCAGCCCCGTGTGGGTGCCCACACGCCTCTTCTCCCTCCCTTTAGGCCCTCAGTGTCCGCTTCCCTTCCTGAGCGTGTCAGACGTGCCTGGCGGAGAGATCCTCTGTGAGAGAGCCTTGGACCTGGGAGAGGCCACCGTCCAGCAGTGCCGGCTGTGGTGTCGCCAGGGATACCGGAGTATAGTCCCATCGGGACTGCTGGAGTGCAGCCTGCAGAGCAAACACTGGGTGTCACAGCCTCCCCAGCCCCTGGCCTGCCAGCGTGAGTGGCCTTAGGGACATGCGCCCTGCTCCTCTTGGGGTCAGAGCTGAGGACGGGAGCACGGATATAGGCTACTTTGTTTTCCCTGTGGAATACAGCCCGAGTGGCACCAAGAGCAGGACAGGGGATGCTTTCTTCACAGGCCCCTGGAGTGAGCTTTATCTGTGGCTTCTCTGGTGCCATCTGCTCCTTGGGAGCATTTCTGTCATTCTAGCTCTCCCGGGATATTCCGCAGAGAGTGACCATGGTACTGATATACCTATGGCCGCACCTCCAGCCTCTGAGAGTGATCTGCTCCAGCAGCCTCTCCCCAAGGACTCCCCGGACCTCCAGGACAAATACCCAGCAGAGCAGAGGCCCTGGGCCTGGCTCCAGGAGTACCCTTCTCCTGCTGTTGCCTGAACCTACTTGCCACATGTGAGAAAACATGGGCATGGCTGTGAGTGACACTGTGCTCTGAAAGCACCTGGCTTGGCAAAGCTTGATGACCAGGTAGGGGCAGACAGAAAGGACTCACACTCTGCCCAGAAGAGAGACCACATCCAGGGACTGTCATAAGGCTCTGGGTAGCTGCCCGAGTGTCAAGGACAGGGTTTGATAGATACAGAGCAATCTAGGCTCGAGAGGAGAATCTTCACTAAGGAAAAGGTTAATATGTGATTTGGCTAAGTAAATGGCCTGTTCCTTTGATTATAACAGAGAAGCCCAAGCTGAAATAAAGACCAGGCTGATCACCAGTGACTCTAGAGCAAGGAACTTTGGGGGAAGAAAGTGTTGTGGGTCTTTGGTTCCCTAAAGTTGAGTGTGGAGCTGCTATGTGTGGTTGTGCAGCTTGTACACTAAACAACCCCAGGGAATGTCTACTCTTGAACCCCCGAAGCATAGAGCTGCCTTGTTTGCCTGCAAAATAATGAGGGAGATTTTCCAAGAAGATTGTCGAGGATTCTCCTGATTTAGAGACTGGGGACTAAACTTGGTGAGGGTGAGAAATAATTCCAAGACAACCAGTTACGTCAGGAATTAGTGGACTTGAAGGATGATGGTGTAAAATGTCAGTGCTTGTGTGTTGTAAGTTAAAAAGATGATGAGTTATTTCCATAGAGGAAAAAACCCCAAACAACCCTCATGGCTCTGCCTTCCCGGCTACTGACCTCAAGTCTCACCTACAGGGCCGCAGCCGTGGCAGACTGTACAGACCGGAGTACACTTCCGGCTCCAGCTCCCCCCAGGCAAGATGTGCAGCGCTGACTACAAGGGCCTGCTGCAGGCATTCCAGGTCTTCATACAGGATGAGCTGATGGCCCGTGGCTTTTGCCACATCCAGGTGAGCTGAGTCTTCCCACAGGAGGGCCTGAGTTGAGCACCAGGTTGCTATCAGAGAACCTGGGGCTCAAAGGAACCCAGGACCCAAACCAACCCTTTACTGCTTTCGTCAACCACCAGCTGAGGCCCAGACCTGGAAAGACTTTGTCCAAAGTGAACTGTGTTGTGGCTGAACTAGGGGCCATGCTTGCCCCATCGTGGGCATTTTCTCCCCATAAACATGTCAAATGCGTAACAGGCACCTACTGTGTGGCAGGCGTAAAGCATTCCTTGCCACAGATTATTCAAAGTAATCCTCTTACTACTGCATGAGGAAACAAAACCAGGTGCCAGGAGCCCTCTTCTTGTCAGGCTACTCTCTAAAACCATTAGAAGCAAAGTCATTTGCCTGAGATTTCTCATACTTTACTGAAATCTCAGGCCTGCTTGGACCCCTTTACTATACTGAAGTCACTCTTTCATTCATTGATCCTTATCATCTAAGTGTCCGACTGCCTTTTATAAGGCAGGCGTGATTTTAGGTCTGAGAATTGTCACCGATTGCTTGACCTAGACACCAGTTAAAGTGGTCAGCATGAATGTCAATTCTTAGCATACACTTGCAATGAGGAAAAGAGCACAGCATGAACCGAACTCAATGCCCGTTTATTTGTCCAGAGGTGGCTCGCATTTTAAGCAGAGGAGAATGTGGAGAGGGGTTAATGAGGGTTCGATAGAGTCAGGGAAGAGAAAAATTACAAAGAGCTGGAAGAGGGGCTGCGTCCACATGAAGCACATCTGGGTTTGCCAGTTAGCACTTAGTAAATGTAGGCTCCCACCATGGAGAGAGGCTGGACACTGGGGCCTGGCTTCAGGTGTGGGGTGGAGGAAAAAACACATTTTCTTGGCTGCCTTGAGCTCTTAGGTAGGTGCTCTAAGGAAGGAATAGTGTCATACTGAGGTGCAGCACCGAGTCAGTAGAACCATGGTCATGTTGCCTCTTTGTAGGCAGAGGCTGAGGTCCAGAGGGAGAGGGCCCAGAGAGTCTGGCTAGTGACTGGGCCAGGAGAATATCTGCAGTATGACACCAAGTCTTTGCACATGGGGACTCAAGTCTGGGAGGACATGGTGCTGAGCAATTGCATATTAGTGCTGGGAAAAGCCCAGGAGGGAGGGAAAGCAGGGCAGACATGGGGGAAGGTAAAGAAGTAGGAGTGGCCTTGGAGAGAAGGAGCAGGGAAGGCCTGCCCAGGAGATGCCACTGAAGGGGCGCTGGGCTCAGTGAGGCTGAAGCCCATGAGGACCTCAGAAGGGTGGAGCTGCTGGGATAGGAACACAGTCACTATGATTCACACTATCGAGGGCCCTGCATGGGCAGGGCGCAAGGAGAGAGGAACTGGGGTCCGGGGTGTGCACATCGCTTGGGGCCACATTGCCATGGTTAGGACAGTGTCTTGCTCAGTATGTGATGGGATGCCAGAGTCTGACAGTGACAGGACACACTGTGGGTTCCAGTGTTTGCTGTGAGGAGAGGGGACTTTCGGGGGCAAGGATGGGAGCAGCGACTCCTACAGTCATCAGGCAATGGTATCGGTGCCCCACTGAGAAGCAGAATTTGACAATGTTGAGAGCTCATGGGGTTGGGTGCAAGACAACTTGGCCCAGGGAGAGAAGCGTGAGGGTGACTGAGGTTTGGCTCCAGTGTCTGGGAGGAGATGAACGCCGTGTTTACTGACAGAGGAACACTGAAATGCTCATAGCAAGGATCAAAGCATTCCAGAGTCCTGCACACCTGAGAGTGAAGACAGGGATGAAGATAAAGATGGGGTTCCAGAGGCAGCCTGGAGGTCTCTGGGACAAGATGTCAGGGTATGGGATTAGGAGGTAGAGCGCTTCCAAGGCAACGCAGGTCTTCTCTGGAAGTAGTTAATGGCAGATGCATAAGTTTCCAGACAGGCAGATCTGGGTCCAGCCTCAATGCCAGTCCTTCTGCCAGCATGAACTGGAATTTCTCCAAGCAGGCATGGCTGAGCCGGGCCTTAATGCCATTGTGAATGGGACAGGGGATGGGAACCCCTGCCATAGCGAGCCAGGCTGAGTGAGGTGAGATGCATGCAGAAAACTTGGCTCTTCACACCCGCTGAGGGGTAGGCGAGTTCTGCAGGGAGGTGGGCTTGCACCCCAGGTCCACTGCTTGCTGGTTGAAGGGGCTGAGGCAGTTCCTCAGCTTCTCTGAGGCAAAGCCCCAGGTGTAACATGGAATGCTGATTTTTCCCAACTCCAAGGGTTTGTTCTAGAGATTAAACTAGCTGACCTGCTTAAAGTACTTCACACAGGCCTGACTGGAGAATGTCCACAGACACTGTGCCATGTTGCCTTGTAAGAGTGCCCAGTGCCTGGCACACAGCAGGTTCTTGTTCAAAGACACCTGTGTGAAGACTCACCTCCTCTCTCTGTACGGGGATGAGCAGGCTTCCAATGCAGACCTCAGCTCTTCCCCGACATGTGCCTCTGTTTGCTGTGTGTCCGGGGCTGCTCATTTAGAGTCTCTCAACTTGTTTCTTCAGGTCAGTGTGACTGATGCCTCCTCCCCGAAGCAGGGTGGAAGAGGCTCCAAGGAACAGCAGGAGCCTGCGCTGGCCCCTGCCACCTCCTACTCTGCCTCTGAACTGACTGCCTCCCTCTCATGCAGGTGTGGAAGACTGGGGCTCCCACCTCCCATCCTGTCTGTGACAGCTCCTCAGTACAGGTGGGGTGTCTGACTACAGAGCGTCTAGGAGTGAACATCACATGGAAATCCCAGTTTAAGGACATCCCTGCGACTTCGCTTCCAGATCTGTATGACATTGGTAGGCTTTTCTGTACTGTTGGTTGAAAAAGCCATGTCAACCTCTCTTGGCCTCAGTTTCTTCACCTTTCAACACAGCTGGCCGAGCCACAGTGCCTTCCTATGATGGCACAGGGAGAGAGTTATGTACTGACTGGGGAGAAGAAGGAGGAGGAGTGGGATGGGTTTTTTGATACCCCGGGAGAGACTGTCCTGCTTAGCTGGAGCTTTTCCATGGGGTGGAGTATAATCCACCTGCTTCCAACTAGATATGGGGAGCAGCACCCCCTTTTGTCCCCCAGTGGCCAGACCGAGGGTCCTGCTTAGCTGGAGCTTGCCTTCCACTCTGTGAAGGGACCTGAAAAACACTGCCAGGCTACAAAGCAGGCGGCAGACCCTGCTGCTCTTCTGTCCCCCACTCCATTGTGACAATAATCTGTGGGAAGAACATCCCCCAATGGCATTATGAGTGAGAGACCCCCATCCTGTCCTCCGGAGAGCCTGCGTAATGTGGGGACAGCTGGGATGCTTCTTCCTGGCTTTGGTGTGCAGGCAGTGAGGGCTGAGTCAGCAGCCTGCTCCAGTGTGGGGTTTGCCGAGTAGGGATCCACTCGGCTCCGGATAGCGCTCCTCTCCTCTCTTCCTAGGAACTTGTAGGTCAGAGCTGGAGGACTTCTCTGTGTTTACTGAATGCAGCAGCAGAAGGCCACGCTGCCTCTGGAAGGTCTTGCCTCTTCTATGTGTGAACCCCTTTACACCTGTTCTCCCTGGGGATCCTCGCCAACTGCAAGAGGGCTGTGCCTGGGTCTATTCTACAGATGTGAAAACGGAGGTTCAGATACAATGGCTCGCTGCAGGTGGAAGTGGCTGAGAATCTGGATCAGTTATGAGTTGTGGTCCTCTACCAAGATGGACAGAAGTGGCAGGAGCCAGAGACCTGGGTGGGGGAGCTACTTGTGCTTCTGATCCCTGTGTGAATTTCAGTTCGTCAAACCCCTTCTCTGGGCCTCCGTTTTCTCACTGTACAATGAGACTGCAGACCATACCTCTGCCTCCTTTTGAGGAGGATGCAGAAAACAGTGAGGTGAACCCTGCCTCACCCTTGTCTTACAGAAAGGGCCTTATTGGGAAAGGACCTCCTCGGGCGTTTCTCAGATCAGGTCCAAAGCGGCACTTTCCAGCTTCATCTGGATTCCAAGACGTTCTTGGCAGACACTTCCTTCCTCTTCCTGCAAGGCAACAGCTTTGCAGCCTCTCCGAGGACATGGTTTGGGTGCATGGAAGGATTCTCCCGAGTCTCAGCTACCAGCAATGCCAGCGGGGAGCCTCTAGGGTGTGGTAGGTAGCCCTGTCTCTGGAATGCGGTCCTGAATCCTCAGGAGGCTGTAGGAAAGGCTTCTGGGCTCTGGAAAGTGGCCGCTTTGCACTCAGTGGAGGATCTCTCATGTATTTAGTAAAGGGAAGCTTTCCACCGTCCACTTTGCATGGATGCGTAAACATCACCCATAGGAAGCGAGGCAGGAGGAGGAAGCCAGTGTCTGAGGTTAGCCTTTCCATTCATTATTGTCTAGCCTGGAGCCCCTGTGTGGAGAAGGCAAGTGTCTACCCTGTGTCCTGGGTAGAGATTTTTTACACCTGGTTACAGCACTCTGTCACCTCCCCACATCCCAAGTGACCATTTTTTCACCCACAAGCTTTACAACTGAGGGAAAGGGCCAGGGGCCTGCTTGAGCTGCTCACTCTCTATCCCATGAGTGTCTTTGGAGGTCATTTTCTTAGGAAGGCAGCTGTAAAGTCCTCGATGAAAGGTGGTTAGTGTCCTCTCACTACCATAACAAACTAGCACACGTGTGATCATCCTTCAATTCTGTGGGTTGAATTCTCACAGGAGTTTCATGGAGTAAAACCAAAATGAGCACAGGGCTGCCTTCCTCCTGGAAGCCCTGAGGAACTGTTTCTCCCGCTTTGTTGTTTCTAGGAAGGGGGCACATTGTGTGGGGGCGCCTTCTTCCCTCTGAGGTCAAAGGCAGAAGTATCTCGGCTCTCTTACCTTGTAATCTCATCCCCTTCTGACTTAGGTGCCCTTTTAATGACACACAAATGGGTAATCCAGGTCACTCCTCCAGTGTAAGGCCGATGCGTTGGCAACTTTAATTCCGTCCACACTTTAATTCTCCTAGCCCGGCGTAGTCACAGGTTCTGGGAACTGGCATATGGACTTCTTTGGGGGCCACTGTTCAGTCTATCACCAAAGCTTTGAGGGTATCTGGAGGAGGAGGAGCCATCTTCTCGTGTAGAGTGAGATACAGAGGCATTTTTATTGAGCTGAAGAAGGATGTTCTTAGCTATTTTTTCCATTATTTACATTGGTTGTAATGCAAGAGATTCATACTTCTTCATTTTCTGAAATCCAGACAACATTGTGAATTCCACACAGGATTAGAGATGCAGCTAAATCCAAGCACAGAGAACAGAAACACAACCGCTTCCCACTGATATTTACAGAGTATGTTGCAGTTGGCAACGTGACTTTACAAATATTTAACTCTCTCAGTAGCCCTTGGTAGCCAGTTACCTCCTGATCAGACAGAGGCTGAGGCCCGGATGATATGAGATTGTGGGTCTAGTGCCCTGAGAAGGCAACACTGAGAGAGATCCATGGTCACCTAAGCAACCAGTGGGCTGGTAACCCCAGTTCCTGGGTCAGTCCATGATTTCTCATTCCACCTTTGCAGAGGTGCCCAGAGAGTGAGTGCTAGAAGCGGGAATAGGATTGCCTGGTACTGCCTGCTAGACTGGGTGAAACAGGGCCACAGAGTGGGAGAGTCACCCAGGGACATCTGTCACCATGATCTCAGACTTCAGTAGGAAATGTCCTTGGCTCCATTGCCAGGACTCTGAAGTTATGTGGTATCTGAGTATACATATGTGTGTGTGTAAAATAAAGGGGCTGGCTGGAAATGTCATACTAAGGTCCCTTCCAGAGAACTAGACTCATCGAGATTGTGTGCTTCTGTCCACTTAGAAATAGGTGAGGAATAGTTAGTGAGGCTGATTTTGCTTGAGAGGGATCCTGTGCAGTTCCAGGCAGGCCCTGGTCCAGCAGTGGGCCTTAGGTGGTGAGGGCAGTAGAGAGCTCTGCCAGGAGCCACAGGGTGGTACTCAGGGAGGGGCCCAGGGACAGGTGTTGTCCAGGATGTACCTTCTCCACAAGAACCTTTTTCTGTAAAGGGCCAGATAGCAAATATTTTTGGGCTCCTTGGAACATGCAGTCTGTTTTAGTGACTCTACTCAGTCATTGTAGGGCATTTATTGGTAAGTCACTGGGTTCCAATAAACCTTAACTTACCAAAACAAAAGGCAGGCTACATTTGGCCCACATGCTATAGTATGATAGTGTCACCTCACAGTGAACCTACATTCTGCTTCTCAGCTGCCACAGAATTCCACTACTCACAGAGACTGTCAGTCACATGCCTCAGCCCCACACCCTTACTCTAAGCACAGAAATGTCCCAGATAGAATGGGCAAGTTACTGAAGGCCTTGGGTTTTCAGGACCTGTTACAGTGCCCAGTATCTTTTAGCTGGTTTCTGAGCTGTGTGTGGCCTTATTAGAATATCGGTGCAGATAATTCAGTAAGACTAGTTCTACATAATGGATGAGGAAAACAGGGTGCTTAATTACGTGCACTGCTAGGAAGCTGCTGTGTGGGCCTGGAGTTTCGTACTGGCTCTGACCCTTTCTTCTTGTAGGATCCAGGCAACATGACTTAGCCTCACTGGGTGTAATTTGAAAAATAGGGATAATGATGCCTATTTCACGGGACTGGTTTGGAAAACATGAAATAGTTAATGTAAAGCACATCTCTTAGACGTAACCAAGTCTCAAGACATGGTTCTTCTGTCACTCACATGTTCAGAGAGTTAAGCTCTACTCCTTCTGCTTCCAGAGTCTTTGTCCTGTCTTCTGCATTGCACACCTCCCTTCTCAGCAAGGGAGTCCTAGAGGAATCATAGCCTCTGCTTCTTATAACCACCCTCACTGGCTCTTTTCCTTCTAAAACACATCTGGAACACAGCTGTGAGGCTACCAGCAGAGCTTTGTCCTGTGGAAACAAAGCAGGGTTTCTGTGTGTCATCTCGGGGGTTTATTCTAGATGACCCCCTTGGAGAACAGTGGCCTGGGGCCAGGGGAATGCCCAGACCCTGTGACGCACTGAGGGGTGACAGCCCTGAGCATGGACACCTTGCTTGCTGTTCTGACACTTGGGTGTTTTTCTCCCTCCTCCTGGGACCAGCCATGGGACTTCCTTTGGAGTTATGTGCTGGCAGTCTTCTTGTAGATTGGCTCATTAATGAAGATCACAGGGAAACTGTCTTAAGTTTTCCATTTTTTGATCTGAATGACATTAACTTTCACTTATTCACGATCCATTCTTATAACAGAACTAATTCCCTGTAGCTACTTTTTCTAAAGTAATGTACTATGGCTCCCTCCCTCCCTCTTTCCCTTGCTTTTTCCCATCCATCCATCTAAGCTTTAAAAATACAATTAGGCACCAAAGGCACATTTCCCCCAATTCTGGTGAGGGATGTAGTTGAAGGCGGGGTCTGGTTGCTGCTGTGGATTATCCACCCACTGCCTCATTCTGACTTCTAGGAGTGCCTTTTGGGTGGAAAATAGGAAAAGACCCTTGATGTGAGGGACAGAGGGGAAAGGATGGGAGGAAACAGCGTATGGGTTTCTTTACCAGGAAGGAGGCCTAGGATGTGTAGGTCTGAAAGTCAAAGATAGATCCCACAGGTGTGGTGTTACACACCTGTAATCCCAGCACTCTGGGAGGGTGAGATCCAGAGGATTTCAAATTTAAGCCAAGCCAGGGCTAAATACTTTGCAAAATCTTGTTTCAAAATGCATGCACATGGGCCAGGGATTTAGCACAGTGGTTTTGCTGCCTGCCTTGAGAGTGAGGCTGAGTTTGATCCCAGGTACCAAAAAAAAAAAAAAAACAAAAAACAAAAAACAAAAAACCACACACACGCACACACACACACACACAAAGGACTGGGAGGTGCGGCTTTGCACAAAGACCATAGGTTCAGTCCCAGTACCACCATAAAGAAAGGTAGTTCCCCACTGTCCTTTCTGGGCTCCTTGTGTTTTGGAGCCTGGAGTACTCAGGCCGGCCCATGAGTTTCAAGAGTACTTACTTGAAAAGAGTCACAGCTCTAAAGCTCTGGAGATGATTATCAACAACCTGACTCAAAGAAGTAATGGAACTCCTCTCTGAGAGAAGGTATTCTTGTCTAGGGCAGACTGGACCACACCATTTGGTTTCCCAGCCATGGCTTGAGTTTCTGACTTACTCAGAAATGCCAAGCAGAGGCGCAGACCAGAGATAGCAGCTGCTGAATGAATGCTGGCCTCCCCCAGCCACTCCACCTCTATACTACAGGGTTTTGGTTTGGAGGTAAAGGAACAGGTTCAGCTCTCACCTCTAGTCACCTTGTGGCCTGGTCAACCTTGACCTTTCGCCTCAATTTTCTTTAGTCTGGGAGAGGATGATCCCTTTCTCATAGGATCCATCCCAAAAAAGCACAATAGTAAGTCTTACAGGCAGCCTCTCACCTGACACTTAGCCTCCTCACCTGTGAAACAGGGATAAGAGGCAGACTCATGGTGACACGGATGCCAGGCACAGAGGAAGGTAGGGAGGTGAGAAGCTCCCACATGTCACTGGGATCAGCTCACTTCTGGAGTCATTTGACAAACTTCAGGATCTGAGCAGGGAAAGAACACAGAAAGATCCTCCTTCATCCACACTTCTTGGAGCATTAGAATCAGTGGGGCTGATTCTTGCCTCCGGGTGGGGTGCCTTGGACTCCAACTTGGATCTCCTGAGAGAAACCCTCTCTCAAGTTAGGTTTCTCTTTTCCCAGCCTGTGTCATTTTAGGGAAGGGAAATGAGGTGGTACTGGGAGTGTCAAAACCCAGGGAAAGAAGCCCTAAGAAGTGGCAGATTAGCAGCACAACACAGAAAGGGCTAAGACATATGAAAGAAACAACCTAGAGTGTAATGGAAAGAGGCCTCACTCGTGGGGGTCACATGTGCTATTTCTGAGTCAACCTGAAACCCAGAAGCCCCGATAGAAGTACTTCTCCTAATTTCATGCCCTGGTGTCCCATCCACCTCACCTTTGTCCCAGGAAGGAACAACACTATTAATGACTGCCAGCCAGGAGCAGGCTGCTCACCTCAGGTGATAGGGCAATGAGCCGTTGGAATTTCCCAAGGTCACCCTGTTTGGAGGGAGTGGGCAGCATCAAGGTTGGTTATAAAAAGGACTTCCTCCAGAGTTAAATGATGTCCCTTCATTGAGTACGCATGGGAACCCGGCTTCGTGATAAGTCCTGGATGTTCATTACCACTACATTCTCATCAGGTAGCATCACTGATCCCACTTCCCACAGGAGAAAGTGGAGCCTCAGAGAAGTCTGCAATAGTTCAAGTGTGGTGGGCTTTGGGACTTCACCTGAGCTCTCTGCACCCCACTGCCTTCCACCATGCCCTGGCTTTGGGAATGTTCCCTTCTGTCAGGCTGTGCCCCAGCTCCATCTCCTGTTGTTTGCAAACTGAGCTCTGGCTCACTAGCTGGCTGTACCCGGCCTTTTCCTTCCCATTCCTTAAGTCTGAACTCATTCCGTCTTGCCATTCCCTCTGCCTGGAATTTTGCTTCTCCTGAGGGCCTGCTTGTCATCCTGGTCTAATCGCCACCTCTCAGAGAGCCTCCTTGCTCTCCTATGTCCTCTTCCCTGCTGCCCATGCCTGACACCCCCGTTCCCACTAACACATCAGCACCCGGAAGTGCTGCTGCTCGACTGTCCCCTGGGCTCCAGAGCTTGAGGTACACTAGTTTCCCAAGGGAACTTTGTCAGAGCTGTGAGCTCCTGGGTGTTTCAGAACTGTACAAAAGAAGCACTGCCCTGCTGTTTAATGTGGTGTCTGTGTGTTCTTCCTAGTGATGTGTCCTGAAGGAAGCTATTCTCGTGATGAACAGTGTCTTCCCTGTCCTGTTGGGTTCTACCAAGAACGGGCAGGCACTGTGGCCTGTGTCCCATGTCCTGCAGGCAGAACAACCATTGCCGCCGGAGCCTTCAGTTGGACGCACTGTAAGTCCCGCAGGGCCGGTACGAAGGAGAAGCCTGAGGAGCTGCAGGTGCAGGAGAGCTGCACAGCCTCGCGCTGCAAATGCTTGGGGATCTTTTGTGTGTGGGACTGTCCTGACCATGGCGGGTATTCAGTAGTATCATTAGCCCACATTCCCTAGATGCCAGCAATATCCCTTCCCCAATTTCTGATGGGCAAACGTGACTCTGGATATTGTCAGGTGTCTCTTGGGTAGGAATGAGGGCCGTCTTGCTTACTGCAGTCATCAAAGGGGCTGGCCTCTTGGACATCTGTCCCTTGCCAGGCTCCGGGCCAGGCACATTACCTGTGTTGTCCCATTAAGTCTTCCAGTTAAATAATGCTAGCCTAACTTTTATGGACCCAAAGTCTCAGGCTCAGGCAAGTGACATAACTTAGCCAAAGCCACGCAGCTAGTATGTATTTGATCTTGGTTTTGTCTGATCCGAACCTTCTGAATTTTGTAAGTCAACCTTTTCAGATCAAGAAATAGAAGATATTTTCTGCCCATAAGAGTACTTCTTACTGTCATGGTGCCCATATTTCTTTCTGGCCCCAGGACCATATTTTCGTGTGGCCTTCCCACATGTCACATCATTTCACTTGGCTGCCTACCCATCACCTGATATGGATAAGGTTTCCCTTGCTGAGACATGGAACTTCCCTTGTGAGGCATCTTTTCATGTTAGTGTGAAATTTTGTCACTGTAAGGCACACCATCCTTACTTCCTATGTGAGCAATTTCTAGAACTTTTAGAGCAGACATCCAAAAGAGACCAAGTCACTGTCTTTGACATTACCTTTGTCAGAAGAGCAGAACTTGTGGATGAGTAATTCTAAGAAAGCTAAAATGGGAGGAACTAGGTAGGTGGGAGCCTACCTCTCCTCCAGAGTGGAAACTTCCCCAGGGACACAATGCCCTGCTCACCTGCTCCCCTTGTACCTACTCACCACAGAGCTTTGGTTCAGGGGTGGCCTCAAGGCCAGTGTGCACTGCAGCACTTTCCTAAAAGGGGACTGGTGCTCATGCTGGCCCTTCCACATGAAGGGGATGTGACAGAAATGGATGGAAACAGGACAGCAGCCAAGGCTTGCACTAGCCAGGTTCAGTCCCTGCTCTGTGCTCACATCGGTGCATGACTAGGTTACTGTTTCTTCTCTGAATATTCACTCTGTCATCTGTTACATGGCCCAGCAATACCTCACTCATGGGCATGTCTTGGTCTAGGCCACTCTTATCCATCACCATTGACTGAGTGGCTTAAATAACGACCATGTGCCTCTCCAGGTTCTTAGCCTGACGACCCGATGCCTTGGGGAAGGAACTCTTCCTGTTAGGTCCTCATGTGCCTTTCTCTTGCTGAATACATACAGAGCAAGAGAGGTCCCCTGTCTTCCTCTTCCCACAAGGGCATCATTTCCATTATGGCCCCATTCTAATGACCTCATCTGTATCTGTATCTAGTTACATCCTAAAGGCCCCACCTCCAAATGCCACGGCATCGAGGAGTGGAGCCTCCATATATGAATGGGGGCACAACATTCAGTCCCCAGCAAAGCAGAGTCACAGTGTTTCGTGTGAACTGCAAGCACTCCCCACCCACACACTTTGCTCACCCTTCTGAGCAGTAACAGGACTCTGGTGCATCATGCTCTCTGGACAGCATCAGTTTTAGTGGACTCTTACCTGGGATCAAAGTTGAAGCCCCCGTGGAGGTTTTCTTCATATCTAAGAGCTTCTCCATGATGTGTTCACTCTATCCTTCTGCCTTCTGAGTTACCCAGTCTGTGTTGGAATCATTCTGAAGAGAAATAGAATGTGCTGAGTTTGAAATGGTGCCCAGCAGTTGGAATCTTTCCCTGGTTTCTTTGTGGTGTTAAGATATTTTGAGAATCCCAGTTCCTCTGTAAGGCTGAGGTCTGCATGCTTACTTCTACTTGTCTCCTACATCTCATAGTACAGTGGACTCATTGGACCATGTTTGGGATTCTACTGATAACTAAGTAGCTGTGTATTTTTTGATATATTAGTTCACATTTAGCATGCATGACATACAAACTATTCTACGTAAAAAGTAGCTTTTGTAACCCCCAAGTTGTTATTAATTCATGGTTAATAATGTGTTTAATAGTCTTGAGATATGGAAGCTCACACATTATGAAGTCACTGTGTACCACAAAAGACTTTCTCCTACTTCCCAGCTTTAGAGAAATGAGTCATGGAATTCTCTTTGTATCATTCATCAGAAATGTATTGAGTCCCTGCTTTCTGCAAAGTATATACTAAGTATTTACAATGATTAAAATCTCTTTCCTCAAGGAATATAGGTACTAGTTGGAGAAGCTGAGTGAGTACATAAACACATTGTGATATAATTAAAGGTTTGGTATTTGGATGTTATGACAGCAACTTTGCTAGGGCTTGAAGGACCCGGATGGGTGGAGGAGTAAACTAGGGGGCCAGGTATAGAAAAGATGACCAGGGAGAGGCTATAGTCCCAGGACAAGGACAGAGATATTCATCCATGGATTTGTCCCCATCTCTTGATTTCGGAGGGAGCTTGTATTGTGTGTCACACACTGACCAAGCCAGTGGGATCATGTGAGAAAGACCAGTTCTAGGACCTGATCTTCAATTAAATGAATAGCAATAGCCACCCATCTTTCATTCATGGAAAAATGGAAATGACAACCACACTTCCCACAGGATGGAGAGATAGAGATGGAAAGATGCAGATAGATGGAGAGATGCAGATCCCAGGAGAACAGTTACCAGTTAGACAGAGCTAGCTGTGGTGCCTGGTGTGTCCAGTCCATTCAACTACTAGGATAAAATACCATAGGCTGGAGGCTTACAGGCAGTAGAACGTGTTCCTCGTGGTTCTGGAGGCTGGAAGTCCAAAATCAAGGTGCTGACAGATCCCGTGTCAGATGAAGTCACCGTAGATGGTACCATCTCACTGTGTTCTCACGCAGTAGGAAGGGCAAACGAGCTCCCTTGGGCGTCTTTCACAACAGCACTCACCCCACTCCTGAGGGCCGCACCTTCCTGAGAGCATTGTACTGAGACTCAGATTTCAACATAACACGAATGCTTCCTCAGGAAATGAGGATTGAGAGGTGTACATCTGGGTTTTGTTACTTTAATGAAATACCAAGGCAGGGTGTTTTATAAAGAAAAGATATTCACTGTGGCTCATGGTTCTGGGGGTGTGAGGCCTCAGGCCTGCATGGGAAGATGGTCCTAAGGTGATACAGCATCATGTGCTGAAAGCCAGGAAGCACTGTGCATCTGTTGGTGTCTCGTTTGATCTCTCTTCCTCTTCATAAAGCTACCAGGATTCAGCCATGGTGGCTCCACCCTAGGGACCCCCTCTAATCTTAGTCACCTCCTGAAGCTCCCTCTTCAACACCACACTCAGATTAAATTTCTACCCTTTCACTGCCTCAGCTCAGGGATCACTTTTCAATCATAGCAGGAAGCAGGACAGTGAGCAGCAGAGTCTGCACTGCCACAGCAGGGAGGCGGCTGCATCAGCAGGGTGCCCAGCTGGTGCCAAAGCCAGGGTCTGAGCAGTGGGATGCAGGGCAGAGTGGTGAGACACTGAAGGTAGCAGTACAATCTGCAGCAGGGCTGGGGGAACTGGCTTCTGCATCCCAACAGGGAGCCCAGGAGCTGTGCTTTGGTGAAGGTGGGGACACTGGGGCTCTAAGCTGGTGTCTGGGCCAATTGTTAGACTTGGTCACCCGGGAGTGACCTGGAGCCAGGGGATTGGAGGGGTGGACCCCAAAGGCCATCCTGAGTATGTCTGTCTCTCCTTCTAGGTGTCACTGACTGTCAGAGGCATGAGGCAGGCCTGCAGTGTGACCAGGATGGCCGGTACAGACCCAGCCAGGAAGACAGCACCAGTGGGAAGGCCTTCTGTGTGGACAGTGAGGGGCGCAGGCTGCTGTGGTCACAAACAGAGGCCACGCTCTCCGACTCTCAGTGTCTGAGTATGTGCCCTCCGTTAGACTGGCCGCTCTGGGGAGGGGCATGAGATGTGACTATCTCTAACATCAGTGTGATGAACAAACATCTTCACCTAGATCCAAAACTTGATGATATTTTAATCTTTATTTGGAATCATTTAAAAAGTAATTTTTAGACAATCTGAGACCCCACCCCTAAATACTTCAGCATGCCCAAATGGTAACATTTATAAAACTGAATCTCCCAAGTCTTTCTTTCACATAGGCAGATGATCTCTCTGAGTGTTTCTCCCTTGAATGAACATTGTAGAAAGACTGGGTATTGGGCCTGGTTCCTAAACTCCCTTGCTGGGTGACCCCGAGCAAGCTGCCTAACCTCTCTGGTCCTCGGGGCTTCCTGTCTGTTTCCTGAGACACTGTGAGGGTCACTATCATCCTGTAGCAGATCCTGAGTGCTACTCTGTGCTAGGCACAGTTCCTCTGTAAGTGGTCAAGAGCTACACCCAACATCCTGTATACAAGGCATGATGGGAATGTGCAGAGCAGAAGGGAGGATGGTACTCTTTGGGATCAGAAGCAGTTTAATCCCAAGGGGTCCCTTTGCTGCCTGTGTGGCCTTAGCAAGCCCTTACCCTCAACGGTCCCTTCATCTGTGAAATGAGGATGTCCTGGCCTGCCTTGTGTGCTTGTGCGTCATTGCATTTTAGCAATGACGGAGCCATCAGAAGCCATGGGAATTTCAGAATGAGAAGCAGCCTCAGCCTCAGAGACTGCCTGTTTCTCTGGGCTTAACCATGAGCTGGCTGCAAAGTCCTTCCATGCTGTGCTCTCCCTCTTCTTCTGCTCTTTAGGACTCTGCCCTCTTCCCACAGCTCCTCCGTCTGCCTGAGCCACCTGCTTCCCCTCCTTCTGCCTGTGTAAATCAGCCTGAGCTGGAGGCCAGATTCTCAGCATCTCTGTGTGAGGGCAGAGCCCAGAGTCCACGAGCTTGCGATGTTTACAGCAACCTCTGTGTTCTGGGGTACATGTTATTGTCTCTAGTGATCTAGAGGGTGAAAATGAGGCAAAGTGTAGACGTGTGCATCTTCATTTGATAGGGTAGACCACATCTAGATTATTTTCACTGTATGCGTGTGACTCTTAAACCCCAGTTTTCCATTACAACAAGCTGTGCCTCTACCTGGAGTTATCTCCTTCCTCCTTAAATACACACCGCCACCCCACACACAACTTCACATCCATATACATGCGCACACACACACATACACATGTTCACCCCATGTACACACACATGTCCATGTATGAACGTGCATGTACACACACACACACACACAC